AAAATATAAATGGTTAGTTATGCCATTTGGTTTGAAAAATGCACCACAAATATATCAAAAAAAGATGGATAATATATTTAAAAAGTTTAATGAATTTCTAATAGTATATATTGATGATATATTAATATGTTCTAATAGTAAAGAAGAGCATAGAAATCATTTAATCTAATTTATTAACGAATGTAAAAAAAGAAGGAATTGTACTATCTAAAAAAAAATCTATAATAGAAAAATAAGAAATAGATTTTCTTGGATTATCAATAGATAAAAAGGGATAAAATTACAGACTCATATCTCCAAAAAGATAGAAAGTTTTCTAGATAAATTAGAATCCAAAGAACAAATTCAAAATTTTTTAGGATGTTTAAATTACGCAGAAGGATTTATTGAAAATCTTTCTAAGAAAAGATATAAAATCCAAGTTTTACTTAGAAAAATAAATACTAAAGGTTGGAATGAAGAACATACAGAAATAGTTAAATCATTAAAAAAAGAATGTAAAAATTTACCAAAATTAATATTACCATATGAAAAAGATAATTTGATTGTTAATACTGATGCATCAGATAAATATTGGGTAGCAATATTTAAATCAGATCTTAATAAAATTTGTAGATACTCAAGTGGAACCTTTAACCAAGCAAAAATAAACTATACTACTCATGAAAAAGAATTATTAGCAATTATTAGAGGAATAAAAAAGTTCTCATTGTTTTTATTATCCAAGAAATTTATTGTTGAAACTGATAATTCTCAAGTTGCAGGATTAGTCAGGAATAAGTTACCCTCAGAACTACAATACAGAAGGCTTCATAGATGGCAAGTTTATTTAGCATTTTATAATTTTGATATAGTCCATATTAAAGGAGTTAATAATTTTCTTGCAGATTTTCTCAGCAGAAACATATAATTTGCTGATGGATAAAGCCAATGTCATGGAATTATACCAATCTATCATACACACACAAAAAGGACGGATTTTTTTAAAGAAGAATTCGAAAATATAAACTCTGGAGCAACCCAGGTCTCAGAGATATTCAACTCAAATATAAAAATACTTTTGAATATCACTACTGAACATAAAAAATAAGCCATAGAACTTAAAAATCAAGTTGATGCTATTGCAGCACAATTAAAAGATATACTGTCTTAGATAGATATACCAAAGAGCTCAGAAATGAGTTTTCCAAATCAATACCAAACAGGGACAGTTGAAAGTAACAGCGGACCCAGACGTGACAACATACCAGCTGATGATAAAAGAGATTCCATTTCTGTATCATCAACCAAGAAAGTTATGATACATGAAGATAAAAGAGATACCAAAACAATCAGCATTATAGACCAAGAAGATAAAATCCATTTAGATCCAAACGAAGAAAAATATGTCGAAATAGTCAAAATCGCTTATGAAATAAAAATGAGTGATTCATATATCATTTCTCCGGAAAATAATGTTTACCCCAAAATAACAGTCATGTAAGGAGGTGACCCTTCACTTATAAAAATTATGACAGACTATGGATTCATGGATTTGATTTATCCATGAAAATATTTTATTGAAATTTCAAAGTTTGATGACATATTCATTAAAGAAGTATCCAGATTTGCCAAAGGAAGGAAGATATTTTTAAAATTCTATTCAATCAGTCCAGAATATGATGAAGTTGTTTATTATCCAGTTGAACACATAATCTCAATTGGATATGTTGCAGCCAATTTTCAAATAGATATTACAGAGAATAATAGAAAAGTCCCACTAGCGACAAAATCATGGATCAGATATAGAAGAGCACTTGAAATTAAAGCTATTTACAACATTGTCAAAAATTTGTTTGATAAAAAATTCTCGTGCTTATACCAATATGAAAATTGGATGCTGGTATCCAATGGAGGATATGCAAAATCAGAAATTTTAAAAGACTATATTACAAGATTTGATACACATCAATTTTCAGGATGTCCTATCACTATAAAACAATCCTACCAGCTAAGGGAGTGCTCCAATTGCATGTGAAGAAATGAAAGAAGAAGACAAAGCACCTTTTGACCATGTGAAGATATTGAAGAAAAAGAGCAATAATATAAAAAGATGCTCTTTGGATAGAAAAACATGTGAAGATGTAGGTCAAAGGAAGAAAATAAAGAGGTAAGAGTGCCTACGCTGATGTAATCAATAATATAATAGAGTCTCGTAAACTTGTATAAATAGAGACATTACCATAGAAGAAGATCATCTCATCCTATCTTGAATTATCAAGTTGTAAGCAATAGCCCATTCTCAGTTTGAAAAATCAGTTTTTTTGGAAATCCCTTTGTACCAAATAAAAGTCTTGTATCAATCCTGCTAAAAATAAAATTCCAATATTTTGATATCAATATGAATTTCTAAATCTTTTTCCTATAGATTCTTGAAGGATCTAATAAAAAGTTTCATTCTTATTTTAGCAAAAAGAGAGTTTTCTTTAACGGAAGTATAGAATTTTATTCTTTAGAAGTTGATACAGTGAGAGCAAGTAGCTAAAATAGTAACAATTCCGTGAAGGCAGGAGGCCGTTGAAGGAAACAGTTTACAAATTCAGAGCTCGAAAGTCACTCGGTTCTAAAAATACGAGTCTAGATCAAACATAAGGTAAAACTATTAAACTTTTGCTAAAATTAGAACGAATCTTTTTAAAATCTTAAAAGAATCGCAGGGACAATTGCATAATGATTATTTTGATAAATGTCAAGATATACAATTGAAGGATTAGATAATTTATTAAAAAGAATATTAGAAGAAATAAATAATACTATATCTCAATTAAAAAATATAAATTTACCATTGAAGAATATGGTATTTTATTAAAAAATTATGATATGTATGCTGCAGATTATTCTTATTTATTAGATCATAGAATGATTTTATATTCAAATATCCAAAATAGAAGATAAAATGATTAAAATATTAGGACATATATTGCAATATAGAAAGAATTATTTCATTAAGGACAATATAGACCTTTCCATAAAAAGGAATCGTGATAGGTCAAATAGAAAAATCTCCCTAATGCTTTGTCATGCAATGGCAGCTGCGGAGGATGATGTAGTCCAGCACTTGGGGCTAAGCTTTCGATTTTCTGTAGGGAAGGTATTGTGCACGTCTTTTGATTCCGGCAGATAGTCTGTTTCAACAAAGGCAGAGTTATATCCTTCTCATCAAATGTTATTATTTTCTACAACTTTCTTTCATTCTAAAGGCGAAAAAAGAGGAAGATATCAGGGCTGCAGCGGCTGCTCATGACGAGGCAATTTTTGGAACGTCTTCACTTCCTCTACACGTAGAAACAGATAACAAAGCCAAAGAGGATAGTAATACAGAGAACGTTACAAGTTCCCCCGTCAAAAGTCATCTTAGCGACCAGGTGAGATTTCATGTGACATAATTAGTGTTCTAAAAATCATAAAACGAGACGAAATGTGGAGGTCAAGCTTCGACCATGAAAAAGTGTTTTTATTTTATTACTATTTTAATTTTTAAAATCAATCTAAAAATTATTTAATAATTAAAGAAAAAAAGCATCTACAAGCGTTAAAAATCGTTGAAGTGTAAAAATAGTGCTCCTAGGAAACAAAAATTAAAACAATGTGAGGCGAGGCGCAGCACGCCTAGACCTAGGCTTTGCTTTTTGGAACACTAGAAATAGTGGTTGAATGTATAGCTAGAGATAGGGGGTGATCATCTTTGTGAAATCGTCACTTCAGGTACTAACAATGCAACAGGGTATCGTGCCTGGAAAGGTTGAAGAAAACGAGTGTACACCTAGGAACTATGGTCTAGTGACAGCATGGGAGCTTGTATCTGTGCATGGCCTGCCCGTGAAGCTTGAAGAAAACCGAGTGCAACTTTAGTAACTATCAAAGGTAAGACAACATAGTGACAATGATAAGAGGTTCTACAAGATGAGGAATTACAGAATGTAAATGTAGCACAGAAGGAGAATATGCAAAGATTTTTGACCTTAATGTCACCATTATCACTTTGTGTTCAGATAATCTCCATTCGTGATTAGAGCATGCTGTTAACAGGCTTCATATGTAGAAAATAGTTTATTGCACTTTTCTCCACTGTGTAACAATTCATGTTCCTTGCTGTTGACAGGCTTCATACATATTTATTCTTCAAATACCCAGTACAGTAACTACACAAAATTCCATGTTCAAGGATGTCTTCACTATTTAACAGTTCTTCTCCACGATATTTTTCCATCAATTTCTTCGGCAACATAGCTCAACCTGTCAATCATATAATTACAATAACAAATAAATTTCCATATCTGCATACTGTTACATATTTATTTAACACGAGTGCTCCAGGTTCTCTGTCTGTTTCCTAAGAAAACCCATTCTCAAGGTCATTACAACACCAAAGAAAACGAATGCCCATTCTGCCCAAAATCGGGTTCTCAGTTGCAAGAGTTAGGCCCGAAATTAGATCTCAAAAAGGGAGATGAAAACGGTCTACAAATATAGATAATGACAAGAGAACTTAAGAGTAGCAAAAGTATTAATGCTGCAAAATGGATATAAGTTTGGAACACTATAGATAACTGGAAATTATAGTGCCTACAAACCAAACTCCAATAGTTCTCTGTTGCTTGGCTTTAGAGATCATTTGAGCATACAGAGTACTAGTCTAAGGTTGTCGCCAATGGATGCACCAAAACACCAAATTTCACCAAAATTTGGTGCAAGCATTTTGGTGCAAACAGTGCAAAGTCAATTATAAAAAATAAATAAATAAATAATTATTATTAATTTAATATTTTCGTTAATTTAAAATAATTATTCATTTAGTAATTTATGTATTTGTAAAATAAATAAATTTTCTAATAAATAAATTATTTAGAATAAAAAAGGAGGAGAAAATGATTAAAACACTGTTCATTTGGTGTAAGTTTCGGCCCTTGTTTAAGCCCAATTTTTTTTGGAAGAATGAATTTTTGAATAATGTATTGATGGGAAATGTGTATTTAAAAAATAAGTAAAAGTTTTGAATTTGCGTGTAACATTATTTTATTGAAGAATGTGTGGTTGAAATGATGTCAAAATACTGTTGGAAAATGTATTTTTCTAAAAGAATGGGGCTCAAACAAGGCCTCGGTGTAATTGTTGGAGATGATTTTTAGTTTGTTATAAGATTTGGTGCAGGATTGGAGATAGCCTAATCTTCCACTTTAGAAGTCATTGTCAAGAATATTTGTTAAGCCATAGGCTTGTTGCTCAATTTGTTTTCTCATTCATTTTTTTGTCGTAAAGGGACATGCCTCCAAGATGATGTACGATTTGCAATTTGTTGAATAAACCAACTTGAAAGTCACCAAATGTATTCATTTAAATTTTGCCCCTTATGTACAAATTGCATGCATTTGTTCAATCAAAAGTCTGACACGTGCACAATTTTTATGAATGAGTGACAACAAGACTTGAACTGAAGTCATCTCGTTAGCTCCGATACCAAGTTGTGTCACTTCATCTAAAAGCTTAAGTTGTTCGATGGACCACACTAATCTATTTAAATTTAGTCAAACACCTATTAATGACGATCCTTCGCTATTTAAAGAAAGTAGATGATGAGCAGTCAGGATTTGTGAAGATAATAGTTTAGGATTAGGGCTTAGATCACCAAGACCTAGAATGTGCCCTATTTTACGTGATCTGACATTTCAACTCATACATTAGAGAAAAGATGGAAATTAAAGAACTACCTTAGGTGCACTTGTGATTCATCTCCTTGCCAAAACTCAAAATACTCTGGTATGAGCCTGTATCCTCCCCAATGTTTAGGTCTGGGAATCATACTTCTGAAAATGGCAGAAATGAAATATCTTAAGAATATACATGGATGTAGGGGTCAAAAAACATTCAGAATACACCACACAATTGATAACAGCAAAAATTACTTTTGCATAAGATAATTGTACAAGAAAAACACGTGCATATGCCCATATGCGAGTTTAATTTGTGCACTCTGCATGCATCAATAGACATAACTGCTCACATATGAGACGAATAAAGTTTTGATAAGCTTAAAATTGTAAATTTTAAGTAACGTTTATGTTAAACATGTTTGAAAAATTACTTCTACCTTTATTTTAAGTAAAAAACAGATTATTTTGTAATTCTTACTAACCTGTCAAAATAAACAACTTATTTTCAATTTTGGTCAATAAAAATTAACTTATTTCTATCTCATTCAATTATAAGCAAACTTTTCAGCTCAAAGACCGAAATACTGACCCATCAGAGTATTTCTCTTCTATTTCCTTGTATTTTTGATGGAGAAACTGCCGTCCAGGAATTACATTGCTCTGAAGATAAACAATCAAGAATTCACTCAGTTTAATATAGAGAACTATTGCTTCTAAATTGAAAAGTAAGAGATAGATAGACCTGCTCACTAACTGCCGGGCCAATCTGAATCTCTCGTGGACGACTACGAAAGTACTGCTCAGATTCTTCATCAGAAACTTTCTGCACAAAACCTTCCACTCTTACCTGGAATTCAAATTAACATCTCAGAAAGTTCTTATCTACAAGCTAGCCTTAAATTTCACCATTTGATCTTCAAGATTTTCCTTTAAATGAAAAAAAAACATAAAATACACTCTGAGAATAGATCTGACATCTTAAAGTGCATGGACGCATTGGAGTAGAAATAACAGTCTACCTGGCGATTTAAACCACTCCAGTAGAAAAGAAGTGATGCATGAGGATTTTCAGATATTTCTTGAGCTTTTCGACTACCATAATTGCTGCACCTGCAAAATGTAATATAGGAACACCTGCTCAACAACTAGTTAAAAGAAGCAACGCCTTTTCTGGTGGACACACATTTTCAACATTTTTTAGTCATTTCATTACATAGCAACACTTCATTCACCCTCTCTCCCTATCAGATAAACAAAGTTAGGTTATGTTTGAGCCCCGTTTTTTGAGAGAATAAATTTTGCAAAAGTGAATTTTTTGGAGAATGCGTGACTAAAAAGTAGTAAAAATTTTGAGTTTACGTGCAAAATTATTTTATTGAAAGAATTGTGGTTGAAAATGAGTCTGGGAAAAATGAATTTTTAGAGAATGTGGCTCAAACATGGGCTTAATTTTTGCTTTGGCATTCTCATTTTCATCGAGTAAAATCACAAATAGCTAACCAGACAAATCCTTCTCCATGGATGCCTTTTAATTGGACCATTCGTGAAGAACTGCAAAAACAACACAGTCAAAGTCAAATTGTATATTTTGTTAAGGTATAAAATTAGTTCACTGAGAATCCAAGTTAGACACTGAACTTTCATTTTTGTTTCAATTTAGATGCTATATCCTGCTAAATTAACAGTAATGGTGTCGTGGCTAACAGAAATTATATCTGGCAGGGATATTCTGTTAGTGAATCATTTTTACCATCCAGCAAGGAAAAAACGTATTGTTGGACAAGCTGTGCTTTTACAAAAGAATTAAAAAGAAAGCACGATTTCTAGCAAGATGCCTTTTTCATAAAGTTGGACTATAAAAATAATGCACAATAGATTTCTCAAGCCCGTCAGTATTCCTGTTAATTAAGTAGATAGAGGTAGAACGAGTGCACAATTTGAAACAAATATGAAAGTCTACAGACTAACATGAAACAAGAAAAGGTCAGTGACCAAAGTGAAACAACAGTGTATGTTGGGTTTCTCGCAGTGTTTTAATCCAAAAAGTAATGGACGTTAGGAATCATTTTCGAAGAACAGTCCTTCACTTTGCAGAAACATTTGTTAAAAAAAACAGAATACAGTGAATTATGATGCCACCCCCACTCCCAACCCCACAGCGGCAATAAGAAAACATGCACACACAATTGATAGAAAGGGAAATACTCTGTAGTTCGTACTGATTCAGTGTTGTGGCATATAGACATTTGTGGCTCTTAGGAGCACCCAACAGTATTTCAAGATAGATGATTTGTTTAATGGATAACATGCTTCAGATTCAATAATCATGGTTCCAACTACAACTCCAGAAAAGAGAGGTTTTCTACAATGCACATTCAGTCAACCCGAGACGTTTGAGAAACTTGCAAGAATAATAATATAGTTAAGCATGTTAATGTCCATTTATTACTGATAAAATAAAACAAGAAACGTACGGTTTTCCATCTTTGCTGGCAGTTGACAGGGCCATAGAATTTGGTTCCTTCAAGCCTGCTGCCACTGCATCATCAAACCATTTCTGGAACTGCAAAGTAAGCAATTCTCTTATTGCAAAATGGTGAATAATCAGATGACTCGAACAAATTCATAGCATACATATTGCTAAGAAACACAAAATAATTACATGACCATGGTTTATTAAATTCTTTGTTATTATCACAAACCAATAGATAATAAGTAATTAGCTTATCGTCCATACCTGAACGAAGGGATCAGCCTCCCCGTGCTTCTCAACATTTTTCAGAGAAATCTGCGCTTGTACATCAGCTTGAGAAGGTTTTCCGATACGGACACACATAGAAGTGCCAGGGTATGGTGGCAATTGAAGCTTAAATTTGTCCACAATAGATGGAGGTACAAATCTTCCACCCAAAAAGTGGTGCGGACCACAAAACATTTTAGCACACAGCTTAGGAGCAGTTAAAGAAACCTGTGTACAATAATTCAAGGTCACTTTATATAAGAAGTTATCAAGTAGCATTATCCACAAAAATAAGTTCACTGGGACATGATACTTCCTCAGGAAAACTTTACCAGCATTTCAGGTGTAATGCCTTCGCTATTGACGGCTCCTTTTTCAACATGCCAACCAGAAGGTATATCCACAGAAACAATGACAGGTGATCTCTGAAATGTTTGATCGTGTTTTCTTGCGGACAACAAGCCATATATCAAACCATCAAAAGGTGGCCTTGGCATACCTAGCAAAGTATGGCGCATAATATTGAAAATTTTACAGATAAAATGAAAATTATCCCAATGGGATATACCTTATCAACAAGCTTTGATAAGGTTAAACTCTAGGAAACTGAAAATAAAAGTTACCATTAAATGAGAAGCCAAATATTGCATCTACTAGAATGTCAAAGTCATTTGATAACTCCTGTGGCAGACCTTCTACTGGCAGAAAAGGAACTGACAACGACTCAAGCTGCAAAATTACTCATGAATAAGCACTTTCGAGTTCCGAGGTGCGCAAATGATCATGGTCCATGAACATGACTCTCATTAAATACCTGAGTGACCAGACCAGTGTAAAGAGGTTTAGGAGTACGTTTGGGGTAACATATGTATGGTTTATATCCAAAGTGATGTAAATGACGGGCAGCAACAAGACCATCACCACCATTATTTCCAGGACCGCAAATGACAAGTACACGGTTATATTCAGTTGACCTGTAGACCTGCCATAATTGGTAAAACTTAGTCCAGGAGATAGCTCATTTCACACCTCTGACATTTGTCATATCCTTATTTTGCTTTAAAAGGTTAGTCACCAGACAACCTTTAGCAAGAAAGCTAGCACATTGAAATAGGTGATGATCCTTCTTGACTGTAGTTTTTACTAGTTCTACTTTCATTAGTTATAAGTGTGGAAAAAGTGCCCCTTAAGACTAGATATATATCTATTTGTTGGGACATTTTTCTGAGTACGTAAATGAATGTTGTTCTATGCTGTCAATATTATTTTTTGTTAAGAAAATATATAAGGCCCAGAGATATTCAATTACTTTATAAATTTTATAATCCATAATGTATAACCTAAATAATAGCCCATGACTTCTGAACAAAGTTGGCCACTTCATTCTGTAAAGTCATATTGCCGTTTGTACGCAGTGATATTTCATTAATACAATTTTCCTTTGGCCTTATAGAAGTGTTTCAATACAGCGAGAGGATGGATTTCAACTACAAGGAGGAGATGAGTTTCCACTACAATGAAACAACTAAGTTGAGCTCAACATATATTCATCTAAATAACATTTGAAATGGGTTGTATGCTTTAGCCAACAAGTCTCTATTGCATGAATTTCTCAAGTTTACCTATTTGCAAAGAACTTAATTTTTCAAATTTTTTTTTTATTATTTTTATCAAGAGGGATACGTCTGTGTACACCTACCTACTTGTTTTGCTATTTACCTCTGAACTATATTTCTACATGTTATTTATGATTATAATTTCCCACAAAAATTCAATTTCATTAATTGCAGTTCCTTGACTTGTTTCTTCATACATAGCCAAAGAGTTCAAATGACAAGCTCTAAACAGCTGGAGAAAATCCCCCCCCCCCCCCCCCTCCTCCCCACACACACACACTACCCCCCATGAGACTACAGATATACACGAATTAATTGTTCCAATGGTCATTGAACTTAGGTCCATGTTTTTAATTGTTCACTGAAATTTAAAATGTCGAGTTTTGATCACTGAACATAAGTCCATGTCTTCGATTGCTCACTAAAGTTTAAAATGTCGAGTTTTGGTCAATATACAATATTTTTTAAAGTTCAGTGACTAAATCTCAATATTTTAAACTTCATGGCAATCGAAAACTTGAACCTGAGTTTAGTAATCAACACTCGACATTTTAAACTTTAGTACCAATCAAAGACATGGACTTAGTTGAGTGATCTTTGGAGCAATTAACACGATGTAAGCAACCTCAAAGAAATAATGATTCTAAAGTACATGATTTCATTTACTAGCTAGAAATAAAGGGGAAAAAAAAGAAAAAATGTAAACTGCAAATTGTATGGAGCCAAACTCTCACCTCTGCTATTGCTGATGCAACACTCAGTCCAGCCAGTTCCTGCATTCAAAAGCAAGTCAAGGTATTTCATAGGAAGTTCAAGTAATTCAACTAATCAAGCTAAAAATGGAAAGTTAAATAAAAAAGACAAAAACGCCATCAAACTATAAAAACTAAAAAAACTGACTAACCATGAGCTGATCGATGCTGAATCCCGAAGGGCCCATGAGAAGTGCATCAATTTCCACAGCCTGTTGCTGGGTTAAGTAGGATATGCATTCTGGATCCTTCTCCATGATTTTTACCTCTTCAACCTATCCCAACATTCAACCAGCCAGCAAACTATTATAAATAACCTTCATTCGTATGTGAGGAGGGTATATGTATTTGTTATATGTACATACAGGACGTAGAAGAAGAGGAATCTGGAAGAGACTTCTTGAGCGTGACAACCTCTCGGTGATTGAAGAAATTTTGCAATTAGATATTAATTGATTTATTATCTTTACTTCTAGAACGGTGAAAGTTGCACTCAAGTAATATTCTTGAGTAAACCTTGTTACCAAACTTTAGTTAAATGTGTATTAAACCTTGTTACCAAACTTTAGTTAAATGTGTATTCGCATTCCATAATCAAGCTAGACACCTTTGTTCAATTATACGAACTCAAATAAATGTAATCTCAATTTTTAAGAAATAGTACGAATCAAGAAAATTCGTAAAAATATTCGATAATCGTGTTTGATGGTCTTTCTAAGATGAAATATAGATCACAACGAATAAATTTATCTCCTATTTGATATTGATTAAAATTCAGATTTTAATTTAAATAAAGTAAACAATCAATTTTAATCACATATTTTATGAATTCCACAATTTTTATTAAAATTTACTGAAAAATTGGTTTTAATCATCACCAAATAGGGGCAATCACATGTTAACTTAATCTTTCATGGAAAAAAATTCTAATGATCTTAAAAGTAATTTAAACTTTGAAAGTATATATTGAGGTCTCTTTAGTGGGTATTCAATTCCTTGTCAAGAATGTGTGTGCCAGTAGAGAATGTCCTTTATTATCAGCTGTTAACCATTAAAAGAATTTTTTTGAGTGAAAATGAATTTTGAAATAGTGATTTTTTGGAGAATGTATTGTTAAAAAGTAGGAAAAAGTATTAAATTTATGTACTTCTATTTTATTGTATGAATGTATAATTGAAAATACATTTAAAAAAAAAGGGTTTTTATAAAATGGATAACAAACGGGGACTAACTTGATAACATTCTATAAAGAGAAACATTTTTCAATATGTTCTTTGATTAGACAACCCTAAAAAATAATCATCCTCAAACATCGAGATAGCACAAAATACTTTCAAATATATACATAAATTTTTTTTATAGCAATATCAACAAACTATTTTTCATTCGGATTTCAATTTTACAAATGAATAAATACATTCCATATATTATTTAGAGTTGACTTTATTCTTCACGTCTTCACATTTGCATCCCATACGTCGATGAACTTTGATGTAATATTCAAACCAATACATCAACGTTCTTGAGTGCGGAACATCTTACAAAAAATAACTTCATTTGTACTTTCTCGTTTTCGTTCATTTGGAAAATTCTTGGGTGAGAAACATGACTCCCACAATGTTTTGGTTCAGGATAACGGTGCGATCGCATTGACAAACTGTAATGATCCAATGTGTCTTGTATGCATTTATTGATGATTTATATAATTTTCACGTGTGACAAGCACATATGAAAAATTATGGGATATATGTCGAGTTTAAATTGCGCCTTATTGAGATAATTTCATTTCTTTTCTATAATTTACACGATGAATCTCCTGTAATACTTAATGGAGCATTAAAAAATAAGTAAAAAAGTAAAATTTCTTTTATTCCAACCATGCCAATGTCAATTTACAAATTAAAAAAAAAAGTGAAAACTGCATTTTTCGAATTCAATAAAACTATAAGGTGCAACAATAAAGGTACAAAATATGCATAAAAGGAGTCGAGTTTGTAGTTGTAGAAGAAGCCTCGTCGAAAAATATCAGTGCACTAAAGTATAATTTCTTCTTGAACACTTACGTTAAGAGTCTTGTTTGGAAGGACAATGCTGTTGATTACCACAACTTCATCTTCTACTGTTACAGATTCACCTGGTTCAAAATATGTTCAAAAGGTCACAACTTGAGGGTGAAAGCAGCACGGAGAATAGAATATACGAAGAAAGTGTTGAAAAAGTACCAAGAATTGTGACTCCGAGCTTTGCATTGTAATCTCCTGAAGCCTGAAATAGGCAGATTAAAGCTTAGGGAACGCAATGCAGAAAACAGAATAGAGACTCACGAAAACATAGACGTGAAAAAGAATGAATAAGTGCAAATATTTAATGTGTTGAAACTCTTTTTAGAAACTAAAAATAACGGAGTTGATTTGTAAGAGAAAAATTAGACGAGTCCCTGAACTTACTTGGACTCTTGACCACCTTCCGATGGAAGACTTCCATCCAATAATTGCGTGGATTACAACAGCGTTTTCCTTTGCAAAACCATGAAGCACGAATGTCAATTTTCACGGGATGTCATTAGTAAAAATATTATCCAGTAATTTGGGGACTAATACCTGGATTTCAACATCATCAAGAATAATACAACTGACAAGCCTCACACCAGCTCCGATGCGAGCATTGGCAGAGATTGAAACATTTGGAGGAACCATAGTGACAGCATGGGAGCTTGTATCTGTGCATGGCCTGCCCGTGAAGCTTGAAGAAAACCGAGTGCAACTTTAGTAACTATCAAAGGTAAGACAACATAGTGACAATGATAAGAGGTTCTACAAGATGAGGAATTACAGAATGTAAATGTAGCACAGAAGGAGAATATGCAAAGATTTTTGACCTTAATGTCACCATTATCACTTTGTGTTCAGATAATCTCCATTCGTGATTAGAGCATGCTGTTAACAGGCTTCATATGTAGAAAATAGTTTATTGCACTTTTCTCCACTGTGTAACAATTCATGTTCCTTGCTGTTGACAGGCTTCATACATATTTATTCTTCAAATACCCAGTACAGTAACTACACAAAATTCCATGTTCAAGGATGTCTTCACTATTTAACAGTTCTTCTCCACGATATTTTTCCATCAATTTCTTCGGCAACATAGCTCAACCTGTCAATCATATAATTACAATAACAAATAAATTTCCATATCTGCATACTGTTACATATTTATTTAACACGAGTGCTCCAGGTTCTCTGTCTGTTTCCTAAGAAAACCCTTTAAACTCTCAAGGTCATTACAACACCAAAGCAAACGAATGCCCATTCTGCCCAAAATCGGGTTCTCAGTTGCAAGAGTTAGGCCCGAAATTAGATCTCAAAAAGGGAGATGAAAACGGTCTAGAAATATGGATAATTACAAGAGAACTTAAGAGCAGCAAAAGTACTAATGCTGCAAAATGGATATAAGTTTGGAACACTGTAGATAACTGGAAATTATACTGCCTACAAACCAAACTCCAATAGATCATTTGAGTATACAGAGAAACTAGTCTAAGGCTGTCTCCAATGGATGCACCAAAACACCAAATTTCACCAAAATTTGGTGCAAAATTTTGCAACGTGGCACCAAATTTTGCACCATTTGATGCAAAAAGGTACAAGCATTTTGGTGCAAACGGAGCAAAGTCAATAATAATAATAATAATAATAATAATTATTATTATTATTATTAATTTTATATTTTCGTTAATTTAACATAATTATTCATTTAGTAATTTATGTATTTGTAAAATAAATAAATAAATAAATAAATAAATTTTCAAATAAATAAATCATTTAGAATAAAAAAAGAGAAGAAAATGATTAAAACACTATTCATTTGGTGTAAGTTTCAGTATAATTGTTGGAGATGATTTTTAGTTTGTTATAAGATTTGGTGCAAATTTTGGTGCAGGATTGGAGATAGCCTAATCATCCACTGTAGAAGTCACTGTCAAGAAGATTTGTTAAGCCATAGGCTTGTTGCTCAATTTGTTTTCTCATTCATTTTTTTGTCGTCAAGGGACATGTCTCCTAGGACCAAGATGATGTATGATTTGCACTTCGTTGAATAAACCAACTTGAAAGTCACCAAATGTATTCATTTAAATTTTGCCCCCTTATGTACAAATTGCATGCATTTTCTCAATCAAAAGTCTGACACGTGCACAATTTTTATGGATGAGTGACAACAAGATTTGAACCCAAGTCATCTCGTTAGCTCCAATACCAAGTTGTGTCACCTCATCTAAAAGCTTAAGTCGTTTGATGGACCACACTGATCTATTTAAATTTAGTCAAACACCTATTAATGACAATCCTACGCTATTTAAAGAAAGTAGATGATGAACTCTCAGGATTTGTGATTATAATAGTTTAGGATTAGGGCTTAGATCAGCAAGACCTAGAATGTGCCCTATTTTACGTGCTCTTGACATTTCAACTCATACATTAGAGAAGAGACGGAAATTAAAGAACTACCTTAGGTGCACTTGTGATTCATCGCCTTGCCAAAACTCAAAACACTCTGGTATGAGCCTGTATCCTCCCCAATGTTTTGGCCTGGGAATCATACTTCTGAAAATAGCAGAAATGAAATATCTTAAGAATATACATGGATGTAGGGGTCAAAAAACATTCAGAATACACCACACAATTGATAACAGCAAAAATTACTATTGCATAAGATAGTTGTACAAGAAAAACACGTGCATATGCCCATATGTGAGTTTAATTTGTGCACTCTGCATGCATCAATAGACATAACTGCTCACATATGAGACGAATAAAGTTTTGATAAGCTTAAATTAGTAAATTTTAAGTAGCGTTTATGTTAAACATGTTTGAAAAATTACTTCTTTTCTTTATTTTAAGTAAAAAACAAATTATTTTGCAATTCTTACTAATCTGTCAAAATAAACAACTTATTTTCAATTTTGGTCAATAAAAATTAACTTATTTCTATCTTATTCAATTATAAGCAAACTTTTCAGCTCAAAGACTGAAATACTGACCCATCAGAGTATTTCTCTTCTATTTCCTTGTATTTTTGATGGAGAAAATGCCGTCCAGGAATTACATTGCTCTGAAGATAAAGAATCAAGAATTCACTCAGTTTAATATAGAGAACTATTGCATCTGAATTGAAAAGTAAGAGATAGATAGACCTGCTCACTAACTGCCGGGCCAATCTGAATCTCTTGTGGACGACTACGAAAGTACTGCTCAGATTCTTCATCAGAAACTTTCTGCACAAAACCTTCCACTCTTACCTGGAATTCAAATTAACACCTCAGAAAGGTCTTATCTACAAGCTAGCCTTAAATTTCACCATTTGTTCTTCAAGATTTTCCTTTAAATGAAAACAAATTATACACTCTGAGAATAGATCTGACATCTTAAAGTGCATGGACGCATTGGAGTAGAAATAACAGTTTACCTGGCGATTTAAACCACTCCAGTAGAAAAGAAGTGATGCATGAGGATTTTCAGATATTTCTTGAGCTTTTCGACTACCATAATTGCTGCACCTACAAAATGTAATATACAAACACCTGCTCAACAACTAGATAAAAGAAGCAACACCTTTTCTGGTGGACACACACTTTCAACTTTTTTTAGTCATTTCATTACATAGCAACACTTCATTCACCCTCTCTCCATATCAGATAAACAAAGTTAGGTTATGTTTGAGCCCCCTTTTTTGAGAGAATAAATTTTGCAGTAGTAAATTTTTCAGAGAATGCGTGATTAAAAAGTAGGAAAAAATTTTGAGTTTACGTGCAAAATTATTTTACTGAGAGAATTATGGTTGAAAATGAGTTTGGGAAAAATGAGTTCTTCGAGAATGTGGCTCAAACACGGGCTTAATTTTTGCTTTGCCATTCTCATTTTCATCGAGTAAAATCACAAAGAGCTAACCAGACAAATCCTCCTCCATGGATGCCTTTTAATTGGACCATTCGTGAAGAACTGCAAAAACAACACAAAGTACAACACAGTCAAAGTCAGATCGTATATTTTGTTAAGGTATAAAATTAGTTCACAGGGAATAACAATGGGCTAAATCCAAGTTAGACACTGAACTTTCATTTTTGTTTCAATTTAGATGCTATATCCTGCTAAATTAACAGTAATGGTGTCGTGGCTAACAGAAATTAGATCTGGCATGGAAATTCTGTTAGTGAATCATTTTTATTTTCCAGCAAGGAAAAAACGTATTTTTGGACAAGCTGTGCTTTTACAAAAGAATTAAAAAGAAAGCAAGATTTCTAGCAAGATGCCTTTTTCATAAAGTTGGACTATAAAAATAATGCACAAGCCACGTCAGTATTCCTGTTAATTAAGTAGATAGAGGTAGAACGAGTGCACAATTTGAAACAAATATGAAAGTCTACAGACTAACATGAAACAAGAAAAGGTCAGTGACCAAAGCGAAACAACAGTGTATGTTGGGTTTCTCGCAGTGTTTTAGTCCAAAAAGTAATGGACGCTAGGAATCATTTTCGAAGAACAGTCCTTCGCTTTGCAGAAACATTTGTTAAACATAACAGAATACAGTCAATTATGATGCCACCCCCACTCCCAACCCCACAGAGGCAATAAGAAAACATACACACACAATTGATAGAAAGGGAAATACTCTGTAGTTACGTACTGATTCAGTGTTGTGGCATTAGACATATGTGGCTCTTAGGAGCACCCAACAGTATTTCAAGATAGATGATTTGTTTAATGGATAACATGCTTCAGATTCAATAATCATGGTTCCAACTACAACTCCAGAAAAGAGAGGTTTTCTACAATGCACATTCGGTCAAGACAAGACGTTTGAGAAACTTGCAAGAATAATAATATAGTTAAGCATGTTAATGTCCAATTATTACTGATAAAATAAACCAAGAAACATACGGTTTTCCATCTTTGCTGGCAGTTGACAGGGCCATAGAATTTGGTTCCTTCAATCCTGCTGCCACTGCATCATCAAACCATTTCTGGAACTGCAAAGTAAGCAATGCTCTTATTGCACAATGGTGAATAATCAGATGACTCGAACAAATTCATAGCATACATATTGCTAAGAATCTCAAAATAATTACACGACCATGGTTTATTAAATTCTTTGTGATTATCACAAACCAATAGATAATAAGTAATTAGTTTATCGTCCATACCTGAACGAAGGGATCAGCCTCCCCGTGCTTCTCAACATTTTCGAGAGAAATCTGCGCTTGTACATCAGCTAGAGGAGGTTTTCCGATACGGACACACATAGAAGTGCCAGGGTATGGTGGCAATTGAAGCTTAAATTTGTCCACAATAGATGGAGGTACAAATCTTCCACCCAAAAAGTGGTGTGGACCACAAAACATTTTAGCACACAGCTTAGGAGCCGTTAAAGAAACCTATGTACAATAATTCAAGGTTACTTTATATAAGAAGTTATCAAGTAGCATTATCCACAAAAATAAGTTACACTGGGACACGATACTTCCTCAGGAAAACTTTACCAGCATGTCAGGTGTAATGCCTTCGCTATTGACGGCTCCTTTTTCAACATGCCAACCAGAAGGTATATCTACAGAAACAATGACAGGTGATCTCTGAAACGTTTGATCGTGTTTTCTTGCGGACAACAAGCCATATATCAAACCATCAAAAGGTGGCCTTGGCATAC